ATCTAAGTAATTCAGGACTTTTATTTTCAGCACATGTCCCCGATCATTCCTGCAGAAATGAAGGCCATTTCTTGACTTCGAATGTGCCATTTACCCTTAGTACACAATCTGTAACTTTTATCCAACCAGTAAAGACAGAAAAGTGGAAAAATGTCACATTCTCAGAATAAAAAAAAAAAAAGTTGAAAACATTTGAGGAAAGGGAAAAGTGTTGTCAGAATCTATTAAACCAAAACCATATATTTCTAGTTGAGTACCCTAATTATGGTTCTTTTCACTTTATCACTTATTCTATAATATACTTTACTGAACATAAATAAATTTCACCATTTATTAAAAAAGAAAAGTATCTCCATTCCATACAAATCCATATAATACACTCATTATAACTTGGAGTTGAGAAGAGGCCAATATTTTGTGAGATTTTCCTATCTAAATGCTAACTAGATCTGAATATGCATAACTTCTTCCAACTAGAGTTAAGAAATGGGCCCAGGAGTCATGAAGGTAACATTTTAGTCCTTTTAGACATTCTGGATTTCTTCTTCTATATTGTTATTCTCCGTCAGGTAAGGCTTTTTGGTTCTATCCAGCAATGGCCAAGGTTGAGGGGGAAAGGATAAATCTGAGTAGAATAAATAGTAAACATGTTGGTGGCCCTGAAGATGTAATGAGGGGTTTTGCTCAGTAATAGACAGTGTTATGTTGTGGTTATGGTTGTGGTTATGGACTTTGGAGTCAGGCTTCCCTGATTCAAATCCTGGTTGTAGGTTAAATAACCTTGAGCAAGTAATTTTGCCTTTTAGTAACCCAGTAGCCTCATCTGTAAAATGGAGGTAATGGTAAGAATACGTCATAAAGTTACTGTGGAAATTAAGTGAGTTAATAATATAAACCATCCAGGTCAACCTATAGTAAGTATCAAACTTATGAGAATTTAATACATGTATTTTTTCATGATTCTTCAAAATTTATTTTTCTATCATTACCGAGCGTTTGACCATAGAGATGAAAAATAATTGACTCACTGCCTATTGTAACAAAATTTTAGATTACTTCTGATTTTTCATGGCTATGTATTTGCTTATTCTTTTCAGATTAACCTTAAAATCACTTTGTCAACTTCCAAGAAAAATACTTTTGGAATTTTAATTGGAATTATATTAAACTTATACATTTATTTTGGTGATATTCTTCTACAAAATTCAATTTCTTATCCTGGGGTATAGTATACCCATCTGCATATTCTAGCCTTCCTAAAAAGTGAATCTAGTATTTTGTAATTATTTTCATAGAGATCATCTATATTTATTTTTACATTAATTCTTATGTATTTCATGATTTTGCCATTAGGAACTATTAAATAGAATTTATTCTTATGTGTTGCTGTTATGAAATATTTAGTACTTTGTTTATGTGGATATTTATATGGAGGTTATAATTTTTCATAGTAAAAACATCAAACCTTTTCTGCTATGACTATTTCTATACATAGAAAATGTCAGCTTACGTCCTGAATTTAGAGCAATTTTTACCTATAATTTCTTTCAGTAAAAGCACTTTCGAAAGGTAAAAATTTTAAGTCCATCATGTAAATGCATAGCTAACCAATAGGATGATTTCATAAATAAATCACTTAAACGAACAGGATTGGTGCTTCATGTCTCTTAAACAAAGAGTCAGTAGGACCATCTCAGTCCAAATAGAACAAGATTTTAAGAAAATTCCATGCTTCACTAACAGGCCCATTAGTGGGTTATAAACTACAGAAGTCCAACATTTACTCAAGTCCCGCCTTCTTTTCTAACATTCCTACCTTAGTGTTCTTCTCATACGTTTGTAATTGTCTTGTTTATTTACTGTTTACTTGTTTATTGTCTATTTCCCCCCCCATTGCCACTGCCATTTCTATTAGGCTGTAACCTTGGTTGTCTTGTTTACTATAATAATCAATATCAAACCAGTCTTATTCATGCATTCATTCAATAAATATGTATTAATCTGCTATTTTTTGTCAGGAACTGTTGTAGATAGACAAGGTCTCTGGCCTTGAAGTGTTTCAAGAAAGAAAACAAAGAAACAAATAACATAATTTCAGGTAAATTGTAAGACCTCTGGGAAGGTAAAGCGGTAGACTGAGCAAAGCAAGGAGGGGTACTAGGTACTGTTTCAGAAAGAATAGCCAGGAAAGGCCTCTCTAAGGAGGTAAAATATGAACAGAGACCTGAACGATATGAAACATTTGGAGGAAGAATATTGCGGGTAGACTGAACGGTTATAAAGATCTTGAGGTGGATAAACTTGGTTGTCTAAGAAGTAGCAATAAAACCAGGGAACAAGGGAGAGAGTGGCAGGCGATTAGGTCAGGAAGGCAAATCATGGTCAGACATTCAGTCAAGGCCTTCTTCTCTCCACTAGTGCTTTTTGAGATTTGTTGCACATACAAATCATCTAGGATCTTGTTAAAACACAGACTCTGGCTCAGTTGGTCTGGGGCAAGGGTTGGGATTCTGAATTTCTAACAATCTTCCAGAGGATTTTATTGCTGTTGTTCTGAGGACCAGTCTTTGAATAATAAGCTTCTGAACTATGAAAAGGTAGTTGAATTCTATTGTAAATATGAATGAAAGCCATTGAAGGGCCCTGGACTTGAGATAACACAACTGATTTACACTTTTAAAGGATCATGAAGGTTCTATGTGTAGAAAACCTATTGGGGAGAAAATGGAAGCTGGAAACCAGTAAGAAGATATTGCTTCAGTTAGACAGCAGATGATAATGGCTTGAAGTAGCATTGGCAGTGAATGAACTTATGAGACATAGTCAAATTTCAGATACATTTTGATTACAGAGTCAACAGGATGTTCTGATGAATTAGATGTTGGAAGTAAAAGTAACAGTGATGAAAACAGACTACTAGTTTTTAGACTGAGCACTTGGATGGCTTGTGGCTCATGTCCAGAGCTTAGGGGAGATTGCTGGATGAGAGATGGAAATTTAGGAACCATTAGATTTTAAAGCTATGCAATTAAATGAGCTCATCTAGTAAGCGGGTATATACAGAAGAGATTTAAGATTGAGAAAAGGAAGAAAGCCCACTCAAAGAATTGAGAAGGAGCTATCAGTGAGACTGGGAAAAAAAAAAAATGTGTGATGTCCCAGAAGTCTAGTGAAGGGCTTCAGCACAGGAGTTGGTGAGGAGTGTGATCAATAATTCAAACAAAATGTTAAAATAAAATGGATGATTGAGACTTGACCATTGGACTTGGCCAGATGTGGGTTATAGCTGATTTGACAAAGGCGGCCTCGATGAATAAGGTAATGAATCTTGGCTGGACAGTAAAAGAGAGAGAATAAGTAGTGATAAAGTGGAGGCAGAGCCAAGAGACACCTGTTTCAAAGATTTTTGGGACAGAAATGGGCCCTCACTGGAGAGTGACGATGAATCAAAGGACTTTTTTTAAGATAAGAGATAATGAAACATGTTTATGTTTTGATTATGAGTGACAGGTGTGATACTGTGACTTATAATATGAAATATACATTCGGTCTTCACTCCTGTTTCTGGTTCAAAACTCCTAAAACCCTTGACATTTCCTAACGCTGTCTTTTGTTATGATGTTAATGAGGTGACTTTGGGAAAGCCCCTAAGGCTGGGGGCTGGGTGCCAAGGGAACCAAAAGTTGAAATTCCAGTCCCACTCCCCAACTTCCTGGAACGAAAGAGAGGCTGGGGGTTGAATTCAGTCAGCAATGGCCAATGATTTAATCAATCATGCTTATGTAACCCTCCATAAAAACTCAAAAGGACCAGGAAACTTCTGGATTGGTGAGCATGGGGAGTTACCAGGAGAACGACATACTTAGAGAAGGCAAGGGAGATGTGTATCCTTTTCCCATACTTTGCATCTCTTCCTTCTGGCTGTCCCTCAGTTATAGCCTTTTATAATAAACTGGCAATCTAGTAAGTAAAATGTTTCTCTGAGTTCTATGAGCTGCCCTAGCAAATTAAACCCAAGGAAGAGGTCGTAGGAACCTTCAGTCTATAACTGGTTGGTCAGAAGTACAGGTAACAGCCTGGACTTGCAATTGACATCTGAAATGGGGGCCAGGAGCAGACTTGTGGACTGAGTCCTTAACCTGTGAGGTCTGAACTATAACCATAAAGGTAGACAGTATCAGAACTGAATAAAAATTGGAAGGTGTCCAGCTGGTATTGGAGCATTGCTTGGTGGTGTAGGGGAAAAAAACCCTACACATTGGAACTGGAATCAGAATTTACATAGATCAAGAGAAAAATATTATTTATATAGGTGGACGGGCTGGCTGTGAAGAGAAGAGACAGGGTCAGGAGGGAATGCAGAATACTTGCGCATGTGTGTGTGTGTGTGTGTGTGTGTGTGTATGCACACACATACATGCATATATATATTCCGTTGATGGGAAGATGCAGTACTTTTCTTCTTTTCAATAAAATGCAAATAAAGATCATCAACCAACAGTGAGAAATATGGGAAGAGTATTGGAGACTTGAACAGTGAAGGAGTGGTGTGATATAATCATCTCACAAATTGTGAAAACAAGTTCAGTAGGACAATGTCGTAGGATTCAAAAGGCAGAACTGTGGAGCCATTTAAGATATAGTAATATTAAAATGAAACAAGTGGGCTTCCCTCTCATCACATGTGATTGATTGTTTAGAAAGCAAACGGTAAGGTTACTGAGGACATGGGAAAGGAAGAAATTTTAATAATGAACCATGGCATCTAAACCTAGAAAGAAGCCTTGAAAAGTGGTGAGTTAATGCATTGTTCAAACGGGACAAAAGAACAGATGTTATAGTAAATGAACTGAAAAACAGGAGGTTCTTTGAGCTCTCAGGTAAATTAAACCCTATATAACCTTCCCCTGCAATTCTTCAAAGGTGCTAGACAGGGTGACCTTAACCAGTAACGCGTAGTTTGAATGGTCATGAGCTTTTCTCAAAAGGCTCACCATTGCTTTACTTTACACAGTCATCATATGATTTTATTTACTTACAATTTCTTAAAAATAGATCCATTGAGAAAAGCAGGGTACAGCATCAGTACAACAACTATATCCCCTTTGATTTTAAAGCATTCTAAAATGTTTTAATGCACCAAACCAAAAAGCAAAACATCATTCAAACCAAACAAGTTATTAAAGTACCAGCCTTAAGTGCTGTTTTGTCTCTTTGCTTATTATTCTCTCAACAGCAATAAAGCAGAAATCATATTACCGAATTTGAATGCTAACACATTTCCAGGATAATATGAACAGGAAACAAATAGAATCTTGAAACGCCATCTCAAATACTCTTCAGAAAACTGTTAGGAAGGCAAAAAGTCCATAAAGTAAGCCACAAGGGTAGGCAATGAGAAGCTGTTGTCCCTCCATGCCCAAGGCGGAACTGAAGATTTTGGAAGCCGACAGACTACACCAGCCAACAATGACCAGTGCCAACACAGTTCCGAAGGTGCCCCTATAGCAAAGACAAAAGAGATGATTACCCTATATCATGAGAAAAGGAGATTATTGAATCAAAGCTGCTTCTGAAACGTCCTTGGTACAATATTTTTAACTACTTTCTCCATTTGCAAAATGAGGGTGAGGAACTGTATGAAGTCAAAGGCCGTGGCCAGCTTGAAAATTTGAGTCAAGTTCCCCATCAGAGGTAAACATTTTATACTTCAAAACTTGAACTCATAGGAGTACAAAAACTCACCTACAGTTACCATCATCTGTCAACATTCAAATCCCAATTCCTGAAAATCTTTTATAAAAACTATGCTAGGGGCGCCTGGGTGGCTCAGTTTGTTAAGCAACTGCCTTCGGCTCAGGTCATGATCTCAGAGTCCTGGGATTGAGTCCAACATCAGGCTCCCTGCTCAGCAGGGAGTCTGCTTCTCTCTCTGACCCTCCCCTCTCATGCTTTCTCTCTCTCTCAAATAAATAAATAAAATATTTTTTAAAAATGTTTAAAAAAAACAACAACTATGCTTAGGGTTTTCTTTTATAATTACACATTCTTTTTCCCACACTTTCTTTCCAGATTGATGCATGGTATGAACAGAAGGAAAACTGGACTTGTAATCCAGCTGCGGGCCTTGTCCCCACTGCTCCCACGTCCGCTTTTCAGGTTTCTATCTGAAATAGCAAAGCCTGACACACTTCAAGTAGGGAACACAATTTTGTGTGTGGCCTCCCACCTCATTGCTGAAGATTCCTTTTGTAGGTGTATTGTAGATTTTTTAGAATATTGGGATGGATTTGTTCAAATTGATATCCTCAAAAGTAACTGTGGAGGCAATAGGCTCTGAAAGAATGACTGGGTAAGGCCACCTGGGTGGCTCAGTGGGTTAAAGCCTCTGCTTTCAGCTCAGGTCATGATCCCAGGGTCCTGGGATCCAGCCCCTCAACAGGCTCTCTGCTCAGCAGGGAGCCTGCTTCCTCCTCCCTCTCTCTCTGCCCGCCTCTGCCTGCTTGTGATCTCTGTATGTCAAATAAATAAATTTTAAAAAATATATTTTAAAAAAAGAACGAATGGGTAAATAAGGTAGTTAAGTCTAGCCACCATGGGGATAAAAGAGGAGGTATGGGAGTAAAGAGTGAATTTCATTCCTTATGTGCAAAACAGAATGTGTTATTTAGAAAAATAAGCTGTAAAATCTACAAAAGATCACAAGATAGCTAGTCCCCAGCTTTAGATCGATGAAGTGACATGAGGAAAATTACACAGTGCAATGGCATTAGGTCAAGATCTCCTAATTCCCAATGCCACGTTGCTCCTTTCACCATCAAACTACACTGTCTCACTCGATCCTGGTATAATCTGAAGTTGAGAATTATGTTTATTATTTGTGAGAATGACAAAAATATTTACTTTTAATAACTGAACCAGAGTAAAACAAATGAAAAACTATACAGTATATGGCTTCTGATGCTGTGGATTATAAATAAACCAAAAATACTTAAAGTGTCCTCTAATAAATATGATATGCATTGGTTTAATAAATATATATTAGGAAAAATTTATAGGTCAACCTAATATACATGTTTTTGAATGAAAATGTAAAATTATATGTGATTGATTTGAATGATATAGTATTATGCCCAAAAAGGAAATTTCAGTGTAATAGTCTTAGGGGGTTGGATAATTTACTCTCCTTTAATATAATTTAAAAGATTTCTAAATCATCCTTTATCATTTCAGAATGAATCTCTAATGAAAAAGGGTCCAGACTTCTGATGATTCTCAAAATCTCATTTTAGTTGTTATTTTCTTCCCCTAATAATCTGAAGTCATTTGAGATGCTCAAATAGAGCATCTTAACTTTGCTGGAAATAATGTTTTAAATTTCAAATTTTTAAATCGTAAATGATTACAGCATTCTTTGGCAAAAGCTTTCAACAAAATAGAAGTTGTAGAACTAAACTCTGTATTAACATGTCAAATGTATTAACAACACAGTAAATGGAAAAGCTTGCTAAAGAACCCGCTTGGGATTCTCTCCCTCTCCTTCTGCCCCTCCCACTCGAGCTAAATATATATATATATATATATATATATATGGGACCATATTAAAACAAGCATTTCCAACTAAGTCCCTCTCAATAATGTTATTAAAAAACTAAATGAGACATCTAAACAAAATTTGTAAAGGCTCTCCTACAATGTCTACCTTTGGCATTGGTAAGTTTTTTATATAATACACTAACCAGTGTAGTGTTAATAACCTAAAATGTGGATCATCCAAAAAATTGCAAATTGTGTCTCCTTTGGATGCGGAAGAATGGGCACTGATGGCAAATGTTTATTGAGTTCCGAGCACGTAGGGGACAAAAGACTATGTAATTACTTGCTCTCCCCAAACTGTGGTAGTGATGTTTGTTCATATGCCCTGGGAAATTGCCCAACAGAAATATATCTACTGGGTCCTCATTAATAGTTTTGAATTGCAAATCCTAACTTCCCAGGAAGTAAAAAAGAAAAAAAAAATCTATTGGCTGAGCATATACTCTATAAAGTTCTCCAGCATTAACATCCTCATCAGGGCTCCTGGGAATTCTTCACTGCAAGGAGCCCAGCTGAGAAAGCACAGTTGCTTGCCGCCTCAAAGGCGGAATGCCTGGGAGCTGAAGCAATTCGTCATTGTTCACCAGGCAGCTCCTCTTCCAAAATCAAACAAGTGAATTCATGCAGTTGTTCTATTACCCCAGACAATGGTTCGTACTGAAGACTGCAACCACCTCCAAAGTGCCACTTTCACAGATAACTTGGTTGAATTTATTGTTTACATCATCCAAATAGGAACAGTACCTGAGCCCAAACTGACCCACTTTCCTGAATCTGTCGCTTTTAATAGCCAATGTTTCCCCAATTCCATTCCCAAAAAGATCAGAAAAGAGGTTAACTGTCACCCTGGTGTGGCAAGCCTGAGAGAGGACTGTGCGCACGTGGGGTCCATTAGGGCACACAGGCACTTACTGCAGTGAAAAGAAGATGGCGCAGCTGGACAGGATGACCATGGGGAGCAGACAGTAGCCCAGGACACTTGCCACGCAGCCGTAAGACGCCCCTGAAGAGCTCATCAAGTTTAGTAAGGTGTGAATCCCCAGGCAACCTATGGCACTCATGCCATACACATAACCGAACTGAACTTTTCCTGCCTGAAACAATGGGAAGAACACAGGTGAACACACAACAAAGATCAAGAGGAAATTGGAATGTCAACAGAGCAGAGAGCATTTTAGAATCAATCAGCTCAACACTGTTTCATGTCTTTCGGGCACAGTCATCAGGAGACTGGGAGTTCTGGAGAAAACACTGACTATCGTATGACTTCAGTCCTGAAAAGAAATACTCCTGGTTATATTCGGGGGGGGCCATGCATGCCACTGAAAAGATGAAAAAATTTCAAGGCTTTTTTAAAAAATCATATATCACCTATTAGAAGTACAAGACATAAGTAAGAATATACTTACTCTCCCTATTTGTTAAATAATTAAATGAATGAATTAATGGATGAAAAAAAAACCTAATTTCATCTTGAAGATTTTACAAGGCAAATGAGTAATGTTAACCAATACCTACAGGATTTACTGTTAGATTCTATTCTAAGCATTTCACATGTATTAAATTATTTTATCCACACAACAACTTTATGAGGTAGGTACCATTATTATACTCATTTTACCCACGAGGAAACTAAGGTGAAGAGAATATACAACTTGCAGAAAATAAAATGTTAAGCGGTGCAACTTGGCGTGGAACCTAGCCAGTCTGGTTCTAAAATTAGATGTTGGACACCTATAGGAGCTCTCCCAAGTCTTAAAATAACGGGACTTACTTGACCTTTTTAAACCTTTTTTAACTTGACCTTTTAGCGTATCCTAAACTTATTTGACCACAGAATCCTTTGTTTTCCTAATTCCTATTACCAGTTTAACTGAACATAGTTTATGAAAACCTGGTTTATATAAACCAACTGGTACTGAATCATAAAAGAAGTACTGTTAAAGGGAATTCAGTAGTGTTCAGGATACAACACTGATTTTCTGAGGACTCATAAAAATAGCCATCTCCCACAGGCACTAGGGATTGGGAGCTGAAATAGTCCAATTAAACTCACCCAGAGAAAGTCACAAACTATTATTGATTCAAAAGGGGATATTTTAATGTTTGCTACCTGAAGATGCCAAAGCTCCAGTAAAGAACGCACTTAGTTTTTCTATTTACATTACGCTGATTAGAAATTCTGGGTAAATATTGAATAGACTGACTCTGTTTTTCATGGAAATCATACAAAACAAGGAAGGATCTGGTAAATGCGGAGAGTGAGCTTTTTAGCTGTCATGTTCTCTTTTCCATGGCTGTTATCTATATAGTCTTTATGTCTTATAAAGAGATATTTACTTTGCAATTAATTAATGAAGAATAGTTGACCATTTTAATGTTCAAAATTGTCTAGCTATTTTGAGTTCTTCTTCCTCTACAGAGATGGGGAGATTGGTCACTACCAAGTCTTTTCACAAAATGTCCCTGGGCTGTGCTTGCAGAATTCTCTCCTGCAGTAGCCATAATGAGTTCTTACTGAGTAACTTTTGTATTTTCATGGCTATCTTGTGAAATAATACTAATAATGCTAATGGACATGCTTAAGAACCCTCTTAGTTATTGTTCTATTGGGTGAGTTTTTTCCACTTGGAAAATAGTGACCATTTAAAATCACTTGTATTAGAGAAACATCCTACTTAATATTTTAATTGGATGGGATAATTCTGAGGTAGCAAAAGCTGTAACAGTGAAGGTCAACTTCCCCACAACCAAAACACACAGAGCTAGAACTTTCTGACCCCAGGCACTTTTATAAAAAGGGTGGGGTATATAGAGGGTGGACAAAATTAATTTGAGAGTAACACTGTCCCTTTGGGATATGAGTTAGTGACTGTTCTCCTCATCTCTTCTCTTGTCAGTTTATCCATTCTAAGTTGTGATTCCATTTGGCAGGGGCCATCGCCATTTTTAATTTGTTTCAAATTCTAAAAAAGGGCTTGTAACTAAAATGGAAAACCAATGTTCCATTTCTTCTTAACCTCAAAACTTCACATGTCCTCCTTGTACCACCCTCATTACTAAATCTGAATTTGAAATACTCATTATTCTTCTGATTATGCTTTTACATTGGTCATGCATGTTCCTTTTCCAGATCATACTTTTAGAGTTACTGGAAAAATTAAAGGGAGCCATACTTTTAAACCACTTATCTTCCTTGTTTTGGGAGTGAAATAATTTTGACAGCAAAAATAAAACTAAATTTATGCTAACTGTTTGAAGCTGTCCTCTTTGGTTTGCCTCCTTCAACATGAAGAAAGTCACTAAAAGATACTATGTCATGCCTTATGTCAACATAAATTATAAAAATGATAAGTATGTGATCATGAGTTTTATGCCTCTGAAGAAAATGAACAAATCGATTGTTGTTTTGGATTCAATTTTGCTTTCTCTAGTACAATGCATATACCAGCCCATAAACTTTTCTTTTACATTTTAATTCTAGATACCCAGGGCATGGTTAGTTTAGTTTCAAATTGGGCTCTGAGTGAAATCTGACTTCATTAGTATATACCTGGATGATTTTCTTGTTGTTTTTGGTCTTTATTGCTCTACATGTATTAGAATCAATTCTGAAGTAATGACATCTAATGGGAAAATAAAACTGATAATGTCTGCTTAAAATATTTCAGAAAATATGCACTTTCACATATTCCTCCAAATTTTAGAGCTGAAAGGAACCTTAAGAACCACTTACATAAGTGTTTTTTGTCTTCAAAATGAAGAAATGAAGAAATAAGAAACAAAAATCTCAAGATCATACCTAGAGGCAAAGTTAGGGGTACGTTCAATTTCTCACTTCCATTTGAGTTCTTAGCCTATATTGTTTTGTACTTCAAACAAAAAAGAGGATATTTAAATAATTCCAACTAACATTATACACCCCAAAGAGATCTTAATGGGATTAATGCTTTCCTTTAAGGGATGGTAATACTAACATTTTCTATAAGAAAACAAACAGCTGTTATATTAGAAATCACTTGAAAAAGAAATATGGTTTAATATATTAAATTTATTGTTTCTATTTGATTAAGTGACATGGTCTTAACTTAGTGTAGCTAAGATTATCAAATTACTGTGACAAAGAGAGAAGTGAAGTTAAAGACTAAATTAAAACTCTAGTTGATATAGTGTTTGATTTACAGAGTATTTTCATTTGCTGAAGTTCAAAGGAAGAAATAAGATGCTATCACTAAATACTATTGTATTGCATAAATATGATGCGATTATTAATCATATCACCATGCAGAAACTAGATTGCTCTAAGTATTTTGACTGGTATAAAATAAATTAATAAATAAAAAGTGAAAATTTATTTAGTTGCAAATACATTTTACATCTACTTTTGAAAACTATAATTATAGTGGAGAAAAAAGCATTTATGGAAAGTGGATAGCCAAGAGACAGAGTAGTGGACTGAAGAGTTATTTTAAGGGCTTTTCCTAGAATTTTTAATTTCCTGTATTCTTTCTCCTGTCAAGTTTATCTCTTTGTCCCTTAATGAAACTATACTTTTCAGACTGGCCTGACCATCTTTTTTATCCTCTGTTTTTCACATATGGTCATTACTTCCTTGGTTTAAAATCATAGACATTTAATCTTTTTCTTCCTTTTTCTTTAAATGAAACATTTTTCTCAAGTATGAGCTAAATGTCTTCTAAACTTAACGTGGGTGAAAATGTGTTTTTCTTTACTTCTTTGGAGACTCAATCACATTAGTCCCAATTTAAAGAATGAAAGAGGCCCATACACAAGACGAATGGTAAAGTCAAGGGGAAAAATGCCTATATAAAAAGCAGAAAACTCAAATAATAGAGAAATATATAGGCTAAATATACAAATCACTGGTTATACATTGCGAATTAATGTACTCATAATAACCTAACCGGAAACAAGGAGACTCATCTCATACTCATACCTCACACAGTATTTGAAATATTCTATAGGTACACTCCAGCAGAGAAAATGACGAGCAAAGAGAAAGGATTTTTCTGGTGTCACAACAGAAGTGTCACAGAAAACAAGAAATAAAATTTGGGCCAGTATTTCCCAAATCCATGTGTTCTTCAACTTTTTCAAGTTGACAATCTTTTCTGAATATCAAGAAAGACATAAGGGATTGCCCGCTTTGTTGAAAACTTGGTGATTTGATTTTTGATATTCTGTTTAAATTTGTATTTTTTCTGTCCTAATACTTGAGGGTTGTTTCTCTTTATCACTATGGTTCAATTAGCTATGCCTCACACACACACACACACACACACACAAAGGGTAGTTATAAATTAAATAATCTACACTTTATCAAGTAACATATAGTCTCCTGTATTAACAAAGACTTCTTCAAAAATGACACTTGACACACATTAAAATCTGGTGCTTGCCGCCTTCTGTTACCAGAAGCAAGGTGGCTCCCAGAGAGATACAAAACAGGATAGGCCCAGTGAGGTCCGTTTCATTCATAATGCTGCCATCTGCTGGTTTCAGCGGGTTTAACACGGTCAAGGTTTTTTGCCATATGTGATCAAAATTAATTCCAAGTTCTGCAAAAACAAACAAACAAAAGGAATAATATAAATATAAAAAATAAACATGGATAATGTTTACTTAAATTTAACATATCTCATTAATTTACTTAGCACTTTCATCAGATTGTTACACCTCCAAAATCTAAAGTTCTATGCAATATACAGTAATTTAACAACAACAACAACAAAAGATTTGTTGTTCCCAAACAAGGAACTAAAGAAATATTTTAGAGAAATAATTACATCAAGGGAAAATTTCCATGCCTTATGCACCAAATATAAGCTTAAAATCTAGCTGAAAATTGGGAAATAGAAGTTCTACAATAAAAAATAAAATAAAATGGTAACTAAGAGACCCAAAGTCCCATCATATTGCTTAATTAATATTAGATATTAGATATTCCCCCCCCATTTTCCCTTAATAACACTGTTAGGAGTTAGTTAGATAGTTAGGGAGTCAGGGCCAGTGTCCCCAACAACAATATATGGAGTCAGGATAGCTACAATAAAACAGCAGTGACAACCTGTTTTGCAGCTTAGACAAGACTACACTAGCATTCTGCTTGCAGCCTTTGCAGAAATGACTTCAGCAAAACATCCTAAAATAAGACAATTAACCACAAAGCATATGTCACCATCATAGGCAATGGGCAGTTAAGACATAAGCACCAGTTGTCAGCAAAAAAGACCATCAGTATGCTGACATGAACCTAATAAGGAGACGGATAAGTGACCAAAGCCCTGATTGGCATGACTCAGCACACTCTGATTGCTTAAGATAGTTTCGCAAAAGAGCTCATAAAAACCCCTCTTAGGAACTCCAAGGGCAGCCCTCTTGGGCCCCCCACCCTCTCTAGGAGCTTTATACTACCACTCAATAAACTCCGCTTTGGCTGTCCTCCACTCTTCACCTGGCCTACCTCTTCATTCGTCAAACCATTGTGACCAAGAACTGTGGGCACAAAAGGCAAAAAATCCTGGAACAACACTTCTGAAATTATCATACTTATATCAAACATGGTATAATTGCTCAATTAGCAGTATTATCTAAAGTAAAGATATTTAGCCCAGATCTGGGATTTTATTTCCACCTTGCCTGATGAGAAAAGTAGTTTTATGCTAATTGCCTTAACCTCCACAGAGGAGAAAAGCGGATGTCTCTTTCTTATACCCGTATTTTAAAAAGGTCTGTGCTACTGTGGTTCAATCTATGTAGCCAAAGTGAAATTCTTGAGACAAGTTAACCTTTCCCTTTTGTGAGTGGCGGTGGTAGAATAAAATATTCAAAATCAATGGAGCTTATTGTCCATGAGTCCAAATTCATTTAGAAATATCTATTTTTCCCCAATACCTTGTTTTTAAGTAATTCTGACTGCCACATCACAGATCCTTCTGCTAGATCCTGCCCCTCTTACATTTTTATTTAATTTTTTTTAAAAAACCCAGCTACCTGATATCCACTGAATACAGAAATAAATAGTAACACCACATCGGTTTCTTTTCTCACCAGTTCTATAAAGATAAACATTAAAATGTATCTTGAGTAGGAAAAAAGAACATTCAAAAAGGAGAAGAACAAGACTTTACTATTAGGACCCAATAATCATGCTGACTACTGCTATCATTTTAAATTTGAATAAGAGTAAGCCAGAGACCCAGAATAATTAGAGATAAACTACTGTAAAGAACAATGCATTTCAGCTAAAAAGAACTGAATGGGTTTTTTGTTTGTTTGTTTGTTGTTATTGTTGTTACTGTTTTCACTGAATTCTGCTGTGGGCTCTACAAGATTTGTATGCATTGGTCTTACAGACATGTAATGAAGCTAGGGCTGTTATTTTATTCCTATTTTGTGCATCAGATATCTGAGGTTTTGAGATATGAAGAATTTGTCCAAAGGCACTGAACTAGTAACAGAAAATACAGATTTCAATGCTGGAGAATCTAATTCAAGAACCCATGTTTCCTCCCCAAGACAAACAATACAATTACAAAAGCAGCAGAGGACCTGAATAGACATTTTTCCAAAGAGGACATGCAAATGTCCAACAGGTACACGAAAAAGTTCTCAATATCACTAATTCTCAGGGCAATGCAGTCAAAACCACAATGAGGTATCGCCTCACACTCCTCGTTAGAATGCTATTATCAAAAAGATGAGAAGTAAGTGTTGGTTAGGATGTGGAGAAAGGGGAACACTTGTGCACTGTAGGTGGGAATGTAAATTCATGCAGCCACTGTGGAAAATAGTACAGACATTCCTCAAAAATTAAAAAAAAAATAATAAGCGCTCCCATTACCCCACTGTGGCCTCTGCCCAGGCCAGGCTGACAACATGTCCACTTATGGCTGGAGGACATGGGCATTTAGCAGAGAACACTGCGGGTCAGTCCCCAGGGCAGCAATGGTTGGCATCCAACCATTTGACCTGAGCACTGAACCTGGCCAATTTAAAAAAAGAAAAAAGGGAAAAAAAAAAAAAAAAGAACTTCTATATGATCCAGCAATCCCACTTCTGGATATATATCCAAAGGCAATGGAAACAGGACATCAAAGAGATATATGATCTCCCATGTTCAATGCAGCATTTTCACAATAGTCAAGACATGGGAACAACCTAAATGTCTGTCAGTGGGTGAACAGATAAAAAAGATGTGGGATATACATACGATGGAATGTTCATTCGTGAGAAAGAAGGAAATCCTGCCGTTTGCAATGACATCGATGGACCTTGGGGACATTATGTTAATTTAAAAAAATAGAGAAAGACAAATACTGTGTAGTGTCATTTGTGGAATCTAAAATCAAGGAGAAAAAAAGAGTCAACCTCATAGAAACGGAGTAGAAAATTGGTTAGCTGAGGGTGAGAGACACAGGAAGGGGTGAGTATAAAGGTACACACACACACACACACACCCCACACACAAAACAAAACAGCAAAAAACCAAAACTCTTGCTTTTAATCATATAGCTATGGATGTCAACGTGTACCTAATCTCACAACTTTTTTTTTTTTTAATTGAGCTCAGTTTTCCCATGTGAAGGATTTTTTCCCTAAATCATTTGTACAAGGCATTCAACTTCCCTTCCCAGGACAGTGACAGTCTTTGGTTAGATACAAAGTATAGTTCAAATGCTTTTATATCTGCACATATCACCTGACATCTTGCACATCTGACTTTCCATACACAAAATACCAGATGGACTTTAATGCCTGCCATGACAAAGAGGGGTCTTACTCTCACAGGGACCTAGACATTTTCAAAAGGTTGGACAGACATTGGTCTACACTGCAGTAGTAAGGATCTTTTTTTTCACTTATTTCACATCCAGGCTGACCATCGCTATCCCTAGCTTAAAAAGAAAGAATTTGACTGCTTAATAGTGAATAAATCATGTCCATTTCAACTTTTGTGCTGCATCCTTTCTATTATCACCATGTAGTTATAGATTTCTTTTTTTTTTAACATTTTATTTATTTATTTATTTATTTATTTGACATATAGAGATCACAAGTAGACAGAGAGAGAGGAAGAAGCAGGCTCCCTGCTGAGCAGAGAGCCCAATGCGGGGCTTGATCCCAGGACCCTGGGATCAGGACCTGAGCCGAAGGCAGAGGCTTTAACCCACTGAGCCACCCAGGTGTCCCGTATAGTTATATATTTCTTAACAAACATACACTTTGGAGGAGGTGAGCAATTCACCAAGCTTAAAATGAAGTTAGAATGTCTCATGTGATTTTTAAAAAGCAGATTTTAAAAACTGAGAAATATTGTAGCTTAAATTAATTTCACCTAAGCCTTATGTTGTTTTCAAACTTTTTTTGCGATTAAGACATTTATGTTAGTAATATGTTTTCAGCATTTGCCACAACACAGTGGCCTTTAATTCAAAATACCTTTTTCCTCAAAAAGCATAATAATTATTCCTGAAGAAACTCAGATGTAAAACGCCTTGTGAGGCATTATTACTGATTTCAGACGTTTATTTGATGGCATCAGCTTCTGCACATGTTTCAACATCGAGTCATGAAACAGTGAGTGAACATAAGACCTACTAAATATTGTCATACCAAAAAAGAATTTATGTGTTTTCTACCAAAATACATCTCCATAATATTTTGTTTTCAAATTTATTGCAAGGTATGCAAATGAGATTATAAGTATTTATTAATTGTAAATATCCTAATATAATACCTTATTATACAAGATAAAATATGAAACCGCTGTGAAATTTGAATGTAAAATTTATTGTTTTGCTGTCATCTAGTGGTAGTAAAGTATATGATATATATGCTATAAAAATGAATTAATATCTTTGTTTTCTATGCAAATGGTGGCACTGGCCTTTTAAATATAAACATCGGGGCGCCTGGGTGGCTCAGTGGGTTAAGCCGCTGCCTTCGGCTCAGGTCATGATCTCAGGGTCCTGGGATCGAGTCCCGCGTCGGGCTCTCTGCTCAGCGGGGAGCCTGCTTCCCTCTCTCTCTCTCTCTCTGCCTGCCTCTCCGTCTACTTGTGATCTCTCTCTGTCAAATAAATAAATAAAAATCTTAAAAAAAAAATCTGTTAAATATAAACATCGGGCTGTGCTACAAATATAAGTACTGAATAGCACAGTAATTTTTCTGGTTTGACAGACTTGAATTGGCTATTATTCTTCAAGATACATTTGTTAACATATTGATTGTACATAATCAAATAGCAAAAGTTATCATTCTTACATAAAATCACCAAACAAGTCTTTTAGACAACAAAGTATTTAAGGAATAAAGAAGCACACTTTCAAATAGCATATTTTTGCATAAGGGATGTTAATTATTATAGCTTCATAATGTGATACCTTGTTTGGTGTATACTCAATAAAAACTAGCAAATGACATTTATCACCTTATCCTAGAAAGCCTGCCTGTGGCTTTTTCATATCTTTGAAACAGATGAGGCTCCAGACTTTCACAAAGTCACCCAGCCTCAGGAATGTATTGAATCAGCATCTAGAAATTTCATAGATTCAAAATGCAAAATTATATTAGGTGCAATTGCTTTCATCTCTAATACATTAGCAATTTGGTGGGGACAATCACAAAGAGAAAATAAAATCTAAGAATTTTCTCTAAGTTACATAAAGTGGGAGAAGAAATCTAGATATTTTCTATTTGAAATTAATAAGATATTAGGGAGGATGCCTTCAAGTTTAGAATATCACAATAGAGACATTTAGACAAGCAGAAAAGAAAATATTATTTTCAACAAATGTTACAGGAAAAATTTGATATTCATTAAAGAAAAAAATGTTAAATCCTACTTCACATACTAACTTAAAATAATTTTTAATTAATCAAAAATTTAAGTGCAAAACAAAAAGATAATTTAAAAATTTAAGAATATACAAGAGGATATAAACAGTAGCTAGAGCTGGAGAAATAAATTCTGAATAAAATTTACCAAGAAAAATATTGTGGAGTTAAAAAAATAAATATTAAAATTTCTATATGATTTAGCATCCTATTAACAAATTAGACGGCCAACACCACCTGGGGAAAAAAATGTTTGCAATACATATTCCAGGTAATCATTAAATATCCTTACCAAATGAATATCTTTAAAAATCAAAAAAGAAGAGGAAAAATTTTAAGGTTTAAATAAGAAATTTGACAAAGAATATGAAAAACAATAGTCAATAAACGTGAAAAAAAATGTGTAACTTTTCTAGTAATCAAGAACTACAAAGTATTGCTTATTACCCATCTAATTAACAAAAATATCTCATATTCTACTCTGATGGTGTAGGGGTCATCCTTTTCTAGATCAGTTTGACAGTGTAAGTACCTTTTGACCCAGTAATCCCAGTGTTATGGATCCATCGTAAGGACAGACTCTGTAGAGATTAAAGTTACTTACTTCACCAAAGCATTACTTATTATAAGGATTAACCTTTAAGGTGAGTTTAAATTATGGTACTTTTATATGAAAAATATTATGTAGCCATTCTATATACTTTCTAATAATATTTAATGACTTTAAAGAATGCATGCATAGAAATAATTTTGATATTAGGTAACTTTAAAAGCTATAGAACTTCATAGCCATCGTATGATCCAACTTTCATTTTTAAATATTCATAAATACACATGTATTCAAAAATATGGTATTTCACTTTTAAGCATATATACTTAAAATACATATATTCTTGTGCAGAATATTTACATATATGTATTTCACACATACACACTCATAAAAATAGACTAAAAGTTGGAAGAAAATACATCAAGTCATTAATGGAAGTCATGTCACAGAGACAAAATTTTAGGTGGTCTTCATATTTTTACTCATATGTTTCTCTATTTGTCAAATTTCTATATTGAACATAGGTTATTTTATAACAACTGATTTTTTTTTTAAAGTAGAGATGTTGGTAGAATCAAGGAGAATATTTAATAAGGATAACTTAAAATTTTCAAGTACTGATTATTATTGCAGAGGCAAACTGGACTGAATTGGTTAAACATAACTGATCCCCCAAGTCTAACTGGCTTCTAACCAGCCAACAGACCTATGGTATCATTTCCTGTGCTTTTCTGAGTAGTTAAAATCGTTCACCTTTTTTTAAATTTTGAACTCAAAGAAAGAATGTTTTAATGCCAGGTGGTTAGCTCTGTTCATATGAGGCAAACACTGACCTTTTGATGTAAAATACTGGGAATTTTAATCTCGACCTTTTCACTGACCACATAGAAAGGGGTGAGAGCATAATTGTTGACCATTCATATATTCATACTTCTCCTTGGCTCTTAATTTTTTTTTCAAAGATTTTGTTTGTTTATTTGACAGAGAGATCACAAGTAGGCAGAGAGGAGGCAGAGAGAGAGGAGGAAGCAGGCTCCCTGCTGAGCAGAGAGCCCGATGTGGGGCTCGATCCCAAAACCCTGGGATCACGACCTGAGCTGAAGGCAGAGGCTTTAACCCACTGAGCCACCCAGGCGTCCCAACCTTGGCTCTTCAATTTAAATCTACTTGAGTTTTGGTTTTCCAGCCCCTATACTTCTGGCATCAATTGATTTGCTATAAGGGCAAAAGCAGCAGGTGTAGCATGGTCGGATTTTAAAAAGAAGAGAAAAATCAGTGTATGGAACCCCCCTGAAATTCCTAAAGAACAATCCTAAAGGTGCACCGGTTCCCTCGCCACCAGGAGTGCTATTCCCTGGAATCGTATATTCCTCCCCACTCAGCCATACCCAGCTGGGGATGAGGGGGCTCCTTTGAGCCAGGGAAGAAAAAAAAAAAAAAAAAAAAAAAAAAAAAAAAAAAAAAAAAAAAAAACCACTGGCTTGTCTCTATGACAATTAAGAAATACTGAGAAACTACCCCCATGGCCCCCAGGCATCCTAGCAGAAGAAGCAGCTTCATTCACTGGGATGGGAAGGGCCATTACTTTGATGCAACGGCTCTGCTCAAAGATGTGTTCACTGTTGTCTAGCCTCCATCAGGGAGTCCACACTTCAACAAATCGAAGAAACACTTAATAAGTGCAGTTAATAGCACAGCAATGGCAACACATCTACTTTCAGTTTTTCCCCCACGCAAGCATGAGACAAACGTCCGACGGTTTCGGCACCTTCGTCTGGCAGACTTGTTTATACGTGGAACAATCACACATAAAACACACAGCATGCTGACCGCACATTATGTGCTGATTATTGCTATTATTCTTCTAGCTGTACACACATTAATAGCGCTTCCTTAACTTACCTTCTAGCAAAGGAGGCTCTTCCTCAAAACTGTCAATGTAAGAAGATTGTGAATAATAATCCGGGTTGGATGCTGGCTGAAAATATTGTCCCTCGTAACCTGATGACGTCAGCATCTCTGCTGGGACAAAGGCAGGCGGAGGCTGCTGGCTGGCTGGTGGTCTAGAGAAAGGAAAATATTGAATTTTATACATCTCAGAATGGGATATCATGACAAGTGGTGGAAGGAAACTACAATGTTCCTTCTATGAATTCTACTAGTTTTTGTGAGTATTTACCCATGAAAGAAATAACTTGCTTAAAATTTACCTTTAATTTAAAAAATGAAGTAACTGGTCTTGAGAAGTTCCTAGAAGAAAGATCTATACCAACTATTACTTATTATGGACAATGTGCTGGACACTTTGCCTCACATTTTCCCACATAATGAATACTCTGTAAGGTAAAAACTGTAGTTTTAATCCCATTTTACAGGTAAAGAAGCAGGTTTCATGGACACTGAAGGACTTGGCCAATGTAGCAAAATAATTCTTCAGGGGTTGGACTCCTAAGTGAAGCTGCCTGAGCTGTGCTCAGATGATACAATGTTGCTTTTTTACTGATTTTTTTCAGGGGCAATCACCAAAGACATTCCCTATAAATCTGTGGAAACAAAAGTAAGTAAAAATCAGAGTTTTAATAGTAGAGTCAATTCATAAGAAAAAAACAAATACATAAACTGACCTTCTAGCTCTGGCCATTCCCAGATAATTACTGACAACTGAATTATCTTTGAGTACCTAAAAGGATTCTATGGCTGGCTTAAAGTCCCTCTTTTGAAATACGCAATTTAGTTTTGTTGAAGCATGATATTTTGATACTTTCTTAACCACATTTTTATTGGATTTTATTTCACCATTTGTCTTAGAAAGTTGGAAAACAACACTCAGTACATAATTTCTTAGAGCTAGAGAAAAGAAGGAAGGGGAAAAAAGAAGTATATGAGGTTATTTGATCATTTTAAATTGTTTTTACCTGAAGGAAGGGGGAGATACATAAGGAGCTGTCCTTATGAACATGTTTAAGTTTCTTTCATCAGAGTCACTAAGGGCTAAGCTAAAAATACAGCTCAGGATTCTGAACTTTGCAGCTCCCTGTGATCTCTCTGCATTAAAATATTTACGAAATGGCTTTTCATGCCTTCCTTCCAACATTACGCTTAATACGAAATCTAAGAATAACATATTCAACTTCTGTTATATGAGTAAGCCTGACAGAGAAAATAAACTTCTCTGGAAAACAGAGCTACCAAAATAGAGATATATACGTTTAATCATTCACCAACTCAACGGTAAGCTCATTAAGGGCAAGGACCTGGTGTAATACTTCTTGAATCCCCCACAGCATATGTTGATTACTGTTATTGTTCCCTTAGCCATGAGGCATATTCTTAACCTTTTTTTTTCTTTTTGTCAGCAAAACAGAGCCACTATCAAAAGTATTGGTAGAAATGAATTACAGATAAGAACCTGAATGGTTTGTTGGTTGATGAAAAGCCCCCCTTGATCTATACTTTTTTTTTTAATGGAAGCATTTCTAGAAGAATAGAAGGGGAAAATAAATTTGACTCAATGGGCCAGCATCTAACCAGGACTATTTCACTGACAAACTGTCCTAGCATCACCATAACTCAGGCCTAGTGTGACTAACCAGGCTTGAGGAAAGGTAACTTTTACAGTTACTCCCTGAAAAGCAATTTCCGTGAAGGAGGGAATTTAGCAGAGGTGATTGAGCCAACCCCAGCAAAGAGAAAAACACATTAAAAAAAAAAAAAAAGTGTCCATTACCAGCTAGATCCCATCCCTTTCTCTTTCTTTCCTCTCTCTCTCTCTGCTCCTTCATCCAGCAAAACTTCTTTATCAGGAGCTTGGTCTCTGTTGTCCTATTATAATGGAGGCATAATATTAAAATTCTCCCACCATTTATTTAAGAAATTATAATTTCAAACTCCATCCAACAAAGGAAACCTCAAAAGCTTTTTTTTTTCTTTTTAAGATTTTATTTGTTTATTTGACAGACAGATATTACAAGTAGGCAGAGAGGCAGGCAGGGGTGGGGGGGGCAGGGCGGGGAGGGGCGGAAGCAGGCTCCCTGCTGAGCAGAGAGTCAGATGTGGGGCTCTATCCCAGAACCCTGAGATCATGACCTGAGCCGAAGGCAGAGGCTTTAACCCACTGAGCCACCCAGGCACCCCATAAATTACCATGGTCACCCACTACCACTGTCTGAATTAAAATTCTCTCCTTTTATCTTTTAACTTTGTACATGTTGACTCTAACAATTGACACTACATTTCAATGAATAAAATCTAAGCAATACCAATATAGTCATATGATTAGTCCACACATCCACCCAACAAACTCTGTAAATAACCCAATTCTCAGGTTTTAGGCTTTTTTCTGAAAATTGCAATGAATAATCATAATTTCATTTAACCATGTATTTCTTTTTTTATTAAGTGTTTAATTTTAATTCCATTATAGTTAACATACAGGATTATACTAATTTCAGGTGTACCATATAGTGACTCACTAATTCTATGCATTACTCAGTGCTCATTATGATGTGTGCTCTTAGCCATATATCTTGGACACTTTACTAATTGCTTTGTTAACTACATAGCCCTGAATTATTAACTTACTAAAGGCAATTGCATGAGTTAGATTAGTGTACCCAATACTTAAGATGGTAAGGTTATATCATATCTATATTTCATATAGTAATGGGAGTTTTGCAGAGTATATCAACAAAATATTCCTCTCTTCTTGATTATGCAACATCTTAATTAGCTTTATGAGAAGAGGCATATTGAAATTTTGATGATATTTAACTTAGCACATTATCCCAGATGAAACAAATGTCAATGAATTTGACCAAAATAAATGCTGAACTCTGGCTGGTAGAGTTTAAACATTAACTTTGTTAGTGGGCATCTCCTCTTCCTGTAAATATTATTTAAAACAACTATGTGATGACTGCAAAAGATTCCTTTAGGACAACTGGCAACATTCTTGGTCATACTACTCTTCTTTTGCTTCCTGATTCTGTGGGGGTTACACTTTTGCTTATAAAAACAGTCCAATGAGAAAATTTATCCTAAGTCGAGTGCAGTGGTTAGCATACGAGCTTCTGGAGTTATACTGTGTTCAAATCCCAGGTTTATACTCTTAGGCAAATTATATTACATCAATGCCTTGATTTTCTCATCTGTAAAATGAGGATAATAGAACTCACAAAGGAAACTAGTGGTTACTAGAGGCAAGGAAGTTTGGGGGATGGGCAAAATAGGTGAAAGACGTTAAAAAGTACACACTTCCAGTTATAAAGTATAAAAGTCATGAGGACGACAAGTACAGCATAGGAAATATAGTCAATAACCCTGTAATAATGCATGGTGATAGATGGTAACTACATTTATTGTGATGAATATTAATTAATGCATAGAAATGTCTAATCAATATGTTGTACACCTGAAACTAATATAATATTGTGTATCAAACTAATATAATATTGTGTATCAATATTGTGTATCAAACTAATATAATATTGTGTATACCTCAAAAAATATGAACGAGGGGCACCTGGGTGGCTCAGTGGGTTAAAGCCTCTACCTCTGGCTCAGGTCATGATCCCAAGGTCCTGGGATCCAGCCCCACATCAGGCTCTCTGCTCCGCAGGGAGCCTGCTTCTTCCTCTCTCTCTCTCTCTGCCTGCCTCTTTGCCTGCTTGTGATCTCTGTCTGTCAAATAAGTAAATAAAGTCGTTAAAAAAATATGAATGAGTAAGAACCAAATAAAAAAAGTATTTGTTGATATTAAAGTTGAACTGGGCTTGCAGTTCTTCTACCAATATACCCAAGCCTAAAAAGTCTGCTATATAATAACAATAATAATAATGATAATGATGATGATCTCATAAGGTTTTTGTAAATTAAATTAGCTGAAATAAGTAAAGCACTCAGAATAGCGTTGGGCATGCAAAAAATGATCAATAAACATGAGCCATGTCTTGGTATGCTTTTTTCTCCCTGAGACTTACACTAAAGCATTCTAGACATCTTCCACAAAGTCTGGAACAGCATCTTCTGTATTTGTAAATAGTTGTCTCTTCCTCAAAGAAAACAACACAAATAAGAGGCCAGGAGTTTATATGCCTTCTGTGCTGATCATCTTTCACTTTTCATCATTTTTGGTCTCCTTGGAACACCCAAACTGACTTTGACAACATCCCACCAGTGTTGTGTTTTCCTACCAGGAGAATCTCCCCTATACACATGCCAGGACTTCTGTCTCTAAGCAAAAAAACAATGGCCACACACCTGCTCTGTATAAAAACCCTCTGCACATTCACCCAATTCTTCAGTATTTCCCTTTTCACCATCCATACCTGGGTTTATAAAGTTCCAACAAGTCTCCAGATGGATGATGTTGTGTTAGGATAAGACATAGTCTCCAGCTGGGGAAAAGATTTTCCCTGGCTCTGAGGCAGCAGGACTTAACATTCATTGCCCAAAGCAAATATAGGAGATCATTGTAATTAATCTCAGAATACTACATCGAAAACTAAGGATGTACTGTAAGGTAACTAACATAACATAGTAAAAAATAATAATTAAAGAAAAGATCATTGTTAAAAGACTCAGTAGTAATTTTTATGATTACAGAAATGTGCTTTCTGTGTCCTATCACACAGTCACTAGGTATGTTTTTTTTTTAATTTTTTTTAAAGACTTTATTTATTTATTTGACAGATAGAGATCACAGTAGGCAGAGAGGCAGGCAGAGAGAGAGAGAGGAGGAAGCAGGCTCCCTGCAGAGCAGAGAGCCCGATGCGGGGCTCGATCCCAGAACCCTGAGATCATGACCTAGAGCCGAAGGCAGAGGCTTAACCCACTGAGCCACCCAGGTGCCCCACTAGGTATGTATTTTATTGAAAGTTTTGTTGTTCTAAAACTATCTATTTGGACTTCCTTCATGATGGTCACCTGATGCTGCTTTCCTTTGTCAAGCTGATCCAGGAGGCACGGGGTGATGAGCTGTCACAGTATCACATGGAGGGCTGGAGTATGAATCAGGTTGTAAAAAAATGCACCAGCAGATAAGTACAAGTCATGGAAAGTCTAGCTGCACATTTTAACTAATATTAAAGTATGGGTGTATTTCATATAGCCAGATGACATAGCATCTGGAACCTGAGACTAGGAAGGGTTTCAGAATTTGAAACATCATCACCTGAAACAGCCTGAGACAACAATATGACTGATCAACAACAAAAATACACTGTTTTTTTTTTTTTAAGGTTTTATTTATTTGACAGAGAGAGAGATCACAAGCAGACAGATAGGCAGGCAGAGAGAAGGGGAAGCAGGCTCCCTGCTGAGCAGAGAGCCTGATGCGGGACTCCTTCCCAGGACCCTGAGATCATGACGTGAGCCAAAGGCAGAGGCTCAACCCACTGAGCCACCCAGGTACCCCTCAAAATACCCTGTTGATTAAAAAATATAGTAGGTACTCCCAGAAACAGTTTATCTATGTCAGTCTCCAGGTAAGCCAGTAAAATCTGGTATTTTAAATATCCCCAGTAAGAACAAAATGTACAGGATCAGTTGAATGGTGGTGTGTTTTAGGGAATAGTAGCAGGGGACCTGACATTTACATCATTCCCAGATTCTGGCCGAGCCAGCAGGTGCACCGTGACAACATACCATTGGCAGAGTCAAAACTATGTTTGACACACTAGAGGAAGATCAACTCAGGGGATTCAGAAAAGCTGGGGATTCAGTATCAGTCTGTTAAAGTCCTATGAAAACATTCAAAGAGAGTTTTCCAGCTGTTGTCTCCTTTTCTGTGGAAATATCTTGTCCTTTCTCTAAATAATTTGAATAGATTTCCCATTTTAAAGTATAGAAAAATATAGTGGGAAAATATAGCCCAGGTGACAGGTTACAGGTGTTGAAAATAGTGTCTATCTGAATGACTGAATAGTTGTTTAAAATGAGGAAATGCCTTCTTGTTTATCCTAAAATAAGAAAACTTGTTTTTTAATATAAATATTTTTATTGTCTTAGTAAATTACAGTCAACCAGCTTTCAGATCAGTATGCTACTGAGCAAGTTTTTTAAGCAATCTCCAACAGGGGCACCTAGCGGAGTCTGCTTAAGATTCTCTTCCTCTCTCTCTCTTCACCTCCCCCCTCCCCTGGTCCTTCAGGCGAATGTGTGTATGTGTACACATGCGTGCTCACTAGCTCTCTCAAATAAATACGTACTTACATATACATACATGCATAAAATCTTTAAAACTTGCTCCCATATATGAGAGTGGGGGTGGACAGAGACAGAGAGAAGGAGACTAACTGATTAAAACTATCTCCTGGATTCCTGTGTCTTTTGCCAGGATGGTTAGCATCTTTTTTCTGTTTTGGGGTGTATTTTAATTGAACTATTCACTGTATGAATAAAAGATCGAATCTCTTGAGTTTGATGTACACTAGTAAGTCACTGACTTGACTCCACATTTTATGTACCTCATAAAACTACCACAGCTAATATGCCCTTTTCTAATTCCTGAGACTTGCAGTGTGGATTGGAATTTAAATGTTACTGTATCCAAATCACGACTTGGATTTATATGCTAAGGAACTGAAGCAGGTTAGGCCATCAACTTAAAATAATATAATCTTGAGTTTTCCCCCTTTGGTTATGTTCATTTCCATCTCATTTTCATCTTGATTTCTGGGCAATGTTGATATGTGTAATCAAATAGAGAAATAAAATTGGGTGGTGGTTTGGTGCTGGGGGGTGGGGGGGAGAAAGCTGTGGTCCATGAGTCCCTACATAAAGAGAAAGCTTTGTTTCTCTCTTATTAGATTTTTTAATTTTGTTTAGTTTGAAAATGTAGATCATAGATGCCACCCATGTGTTTACTCCATTTGAAGAAAAGAAACAAAAGGTGACTAGTTTCTTTCACTAAAATAGGAAATAGAGCAGAAAAATCCTATTAGATTTTGGATTATATATTTTGAGTTACCATCCTGTAACACTTTACTGTCCAAGCTACTCCCTCTGCCTGATTAACACTTTTCTGGCACCAAACACTTTTTCTTGATCTTCAAAGTATAAATCATAAATGAAATAAAATCAAGTTCTTTTTCTGTAGTTAGATTCTGCAATGATTGAGTCAAATTTCTACAGCCTTATTCTTTTATCCTATTTTTCTTATAAATATATATATATATTTAAATCTAATGATAAAAATACCTAATGATAACATTCATAGAAAGAGAGTGAAGGAGGTAGGAGGCAGTATAGATTGTTTTTCATTTTAGGAAATTTTTACGGTACCTGACTGAAGCTGGACAACATAGACTAGGTTCATTGATGGGATAAAACTCCAGAGGTTTAATTTTGATAGTTTTAAAAACATTCTATACCAATCCTTTCCCTATCACCTTAGAGTAATGGTTCAGCAGGAGCACCTATCTCTTGTGTCTTCAGGAGTGATCAGTTAGTGGAAACAATTTCCGAACTGTCCCATTCATAGTTGGAACTGAAGAGTTCCCGTTGCTTGTTGTATTTATTCTATCTTTTCCTCTTTATCTGGAGCTTTCAAGGCACTTATCTGTGTTTAGAAAATGAAACTTCAAGAATTAATAAATTTGAAATATTTGTTATGTGGTTATTTGGCTTAACCTTGTTGAAAGGAAGCAGTGACTACACATCCCATCTTTACCTAAGATGACCTAGTTGTAGTTCTATTGTACCAACATCATTATTCCTAGCATACATTTTACTCTTACAGATGTCTTGATTTTAAAATAAATTATATGCCTACCCTAGTATTGGGTCTAATCAAACAACCTTGAACTAAAATCCAAACCCCATTTCTTATTAGTTGTGTGTCCTTGAAAAAGTTCCTTAATTTCTCTTGGTTCCTGTTTTCTCATAAGTAAAACGGGGGAAAAATACTAGCTCTCATCTCAGGATTGTCTGAGGATCCAATGAGTTAACTTACATGCAGTTCACAATAGTACCTAATGCGTAGGAAGAATTCAGTAACAGTTAGCTTAGAAGTTCCAATGTCTGACCCTTCTCACGGTTCACTGGTCTAAGTGTGCTAATCCTACACATTATCACAACTGTTCTTTATGATAATTTCATGAAGTAGGTACTATTAATGTCCTTATTTCTCAGTGTAATGTACTGAGGAAGTGAAGTTAAAAATCTTTCCCAATATTACAAAGGCTAGAGCCAGAACTTGAACCAATTCTTCTTACCATAAATGCCCTATTTACCCTAGTAAAGGCTAAATTACTAAAATCTTCATCATTTTTATTTTCAACTCAAGTTGAATTGTCAACTGAAAATAACTAACACAGTGCTCCACATCACTCGGTATCAAGGAGATATAAATCAAAACCACAATGAGATACCACATCACACCAGTCAGAATGGCAAAAATTAACAAGTCAGGAAATGACAGATGCTGGCAAGGATGCGGAGAAAGGGGAACCCTCTTACGCTGTTGATGGGCATGCAAGCTGGTGAAACCACTCTGGAAAACATCATGGAGGTTCCTCAAAAAGTTGAAAATAGAGCTACCCTACGACCCAGCAATTGCACTACTGAGTATTTACCCTAAAGATACAAATGTAGTGATCCAAAGGGGCACATGCCCCTGAATGTTTATAGCAGCAATGTCCACAATAGCCAAACTATGGAAAGAACCTAGATGTCCATCAACATGAATGGATAAGGAAGATGTGGTGTATATATATACAACAGAATACTATGCAGCCATCAAAAGAAATGAAATTTTGTCATTTGCAATGATGTGGATGGAACTAGAGGGTATTATGCGTAGCGAAATAAGTCAATCAGAAAGACAATTATCATATGATCTCCCTGATGAGAAGAAGTTGAGAGGCAACATGGGGTTTTGGGGGGGTAGGAAAAGAATAAATGTAACGAGATGGGATTGGAGGGAGACAAACCATAAGAGACTCTTAATCTCACAAAACAAACTGAGGGTTGCCGGGGGGAGGAGGGTAGGGAGATGGTGGCTGGGTTATGGACATTGGGGAAGGTATGTGCTATGGTGAGTGCTGTGCAGTGTGTAAACCTGGTGATTCATAGACCTGTACCCCTGGAGCTAATAATACATTATATGTTAATTTAAAAAATTAAAAAAAAAAACTAACACATTCTGAAATATGTTTATTTCAATTCCATTTAAGAGTTTTCACACTGTATTATAATTGCATATTTAATTGCCACTGTCCAACATAAATTCTTAAATTTTATGAAGGAAAAGATTATAGACTTCTTTTTTATCATTGGGATTCCTAACACATAGCAGGCACTTGATAAATGTTTACTAGTCAAATAAAATCTATTTTTTGAGCAGTGTCTCAAAAAATATCATGTGAAATGAAAATGTTTTCTGTTCTGTCCAGGGCCTATATTCAGGCTCCCTGTTAAGTGGTATTTTGAAAAGAGGAGCCCAACCACCCACCTATAAATGGGCCTGAGGTGAACTGAATTAATTTCTCTGACCTTTCCTGGCATTTCTTCTTGGGTATTTTAACCAAGATATGTTGGAGAGAGCTTTCGCTTTCCCCAAAGAAGCCCTCCCAGTGTGGAAACCCCTTACTAAAATATTACACCTTCTTAAAACAAAAGCATATTTTTTCAATATAAAATACTTACTTTCTATATCCATAAACATATGCATACATATTAGAATCTTCAGAACTCTGCTCCTGATTATCAATAGTATAATTAGATTGGTAAAAATCGCAGTCAAATTGTCCCACATTTGACATCCTGAAAAATAAGAATGTTTTTTACTGAGAACTTAATGAGTCAATAGAACTTCTTTTGAGATATTTACAAGGATTAACTGATGATGTGATTATAGATGGATTCCTGTTAGAGAACAAGGTACTCTTTGGATGGGTTAAATTAAGTATTAAGAAAAGGTATGGAAATGTATTTAGAAAGTCATTTATAAAATGTGTTTCTTCAACAAACTTTTCTGAAATTTTCATTCACGAGCACTTTGACTTTGACTAAATTAACTGACGAGAAAGAACTAATATTTTTCACCAAATTCCTTATTCCCAGCATTTTAAGAAAAAAAAAAAAAAAGATGTTTAAATTAGTATACATCTAGAAAGTTTTCCCTTAAACAATGTTAGTTCCTCACTTTAAATGTGTGCACACATGTTGCAAGCCAGAAGACAAATGGTTGATGATAATTCTATTTGAGTTTCATTTTTCCTAGAGCTTTAACATGTGCTAACAGCCTCCCCCATGCCTCCACAAAACAAACAAACAAACAAACAAAAAAAAACCAAAAAAATCCTACAAATCAATTTCCTAGTTTTACTTTCCAATTCCTAAAATGTATTTGGAACATTTTCCTTTTTCTCATACCTTGCCTGCTACTCCTAGGTTTCTGGCTGAGTCAGAGGGAGAAAGGCTCAGTTCTGCTAAGGGAGGAGTCTTATCTTTCTATACACACTCTCTACCTAGTTTGTACTCACTCAGGGAGCAAAGAAGAGTGTGTGATCTTGATTTACACCTAGTGCCCAGAAATACCAGAAGAAGGAAAAAGGACTTGAGAGGAGAAAAAGGTGGGGAAGAAAGTAATAGTAAGGTATAGTGGCTTTTTGAATGAAAATTACAGAATGGAGAATCTTTTCAAGTGGAGAAATATGGTTATTCAACTCAATATTTTAATCTTTTTTTTTTGAAAAGGATTCTATTTCAAAGGAGTGAATTTAAAAATGATGAGGCACAATCCACATAATCTAATAATTTATGGAATACTAATAATAAGTTTCAAATGAAATTGCATAAACAGCCTTAGCTCTAAGAGCTTCATTAATCAGAAATATTTGAGCAATTGTCAAATACTTCAAATTCCTACAGTTCTGTGGAAATACAGAAAGCTTTTCTAAAATTAGATGCAGCAGTTCATATATTTGACTTCATAAATCAGGATTTTTCATTAGTAATATGTGTGAAAGTAGCTATGAATTATTATGAATCACATAAACTAAAATCAAGACCTAGAGAGTGTTAAGTCTTTTAATAATTTATAATTTAAAGAATTTAAAATTTAATAGCATAACTTTCTCAGTCCATGAAAACATGTTATTATAAAGCATGAAGAGTAATGTCACAGAATACAGTAAGGTTTCATAACATTCAATACTTTATGTAACACGACTATGGGTAAGAGAGTCCTTACATAACTCAGCTTCATGTTTTGTTTAAATGCCAAGTTTATTAGAAGGATTAGATACATACCTTTGTATTTTTTATGCCAAAAGATCTTCCAAGCAATGTAGCTTTACTTGAGAAATTTATAACAGATCAGTTCGTGAAAGGATGACCTGCTGGCTCTTCATAAAAGTTTCTAAATTTGTACTCTGACACTCGGAACAGATGCTACAGCCAAAAAAAAAAAAAAAAAAAAAAAAAAAGCCAAACAGAATATCCAGTATCTAATAGGACCTGTTAAAGTTACAAACACAGTGAATGGTATAGAGACATACAATTTGATAAGGTGAAACGGCAGATTTCAGTTTTCCTATGTGTGTGTCCCATTAAACTAAGATCATTCATCTGAGGCAAGCAGTGGAAAGCAAGAGGCTTTAATATTCCTTTTGCTTCATAACCTATAAGAATATATTCAACCTAGACAGGATTTCCTAATAATACACAATAAAAATCAATATGATACAGGACCGTAACATAACGATTTTATCAACCGTCTGAAAATAGGGTGTTGTCAATTTTATCCAAATGTGAACCAACTTATATAAACAACATTTAGAAAAGTGACCTATAATCTGTATCTGGTTTCTTTTCCTTTCTTCTCCATAAGAGCCCAAGATGGATATGCTCATGTGATCTAACAGAGCTTATTTATAGGCATGTTCTGTTCCATTTTTGAGCCAATCCTGACCACTGGAAGCATAAGACCTATTTCCCCCACTAAGTTGGTTCCCTCTATATCTGTGGGTCATTTCCAGGTGTCTTCTCCCTAGTTCTGACCCAGGGAACGTGGCTAATACTCCCCAGTCCCATCCAGACCTTGTGGGTTTGTTTCTAATATCAGCCTCATAGCTGAAAGTCAATTTTCTTTGTGATCTGCTTCATGCAGATAACTTTGTAAGATGGTGATTTCCCATGTATTTCCCATCTTTGTAAGATGGTGATTTCCCATGTATCCAGATCTTCATTAACTGAAATTTGCTGTTGAAGGGTGAATATATTTGGCTGTTAGAAATTTTCAACTAGAGCCAAAGACAAGAATGGTAAATTACGTAAACTTTCCCACATTACTTTAAAACATTTGGATTTCTCCAACATTTAGTATTTCTCTGATCAGAGCTGTCCTTCACCAGGTGATCAGTCGGGTGACAGTGGCTTATGCTTTTATTGAGGATCTATTATGGAGTGCCAGATTGTGTTCTAGATGTCATAGTTACAGAAGTGGACAAACTTATAAAGAGCTATATTTTACTGTTGATTCTACTATATCTACAGCAAATGATAATGACTAACAAGGCATTGTACTATGAACTTTAGGTTTAAATCATTTAACTTTTGCAACAACCTTATAAAGTATTATTATCCCATTTTAGAGGGAAAGAAATAGAGATTAAAAAACTTTCCCAGGTAGAAGCTGGTAGTAGGTGGAAGAGCCAGTGTTTGAAACCTGGTAGGATAAGTCCAGAGCCCACATTAGTACCCAAGATAATTTCAGGAATCAACTGAAATCTATCAAGTTAGCGTATGTTATTTAAATGGAGAGCTCGAAGGGGAGGGAGATCGGGTATTCAATGAAGATCTCTTAAGAAGGTCATTTGGAGGGGTGCCTGGGTGGCTCAGAGGGTTAAAGCCTCTGCCTTTGGCTCAGGTCATGATCTCAGGGTCCTGGATAGAGACCCACATCAGGCTCTCTGCTCTGCAGGGAGTCTGCTTCCCCCTTTCTCTCTGCCTACTTGTGATCTCTGTCTGTCAAATAAATAAAATTTTTAAAAAAATCTTTATTAAAAAAAGAAGGTCATTTGGTTTGGGACTTGACTTTTGAGAAAGAAGCCACTTGAAAGACTATGTAAGGAGGATTTAAAGCAAATTCTCTGAGATGGCAAGGAATTTTGCAGGCTGTGGTTTAGAAAGAAATCATGGGGTAGTGATTTTGAATCAGGGAAAAGTTGAAGGAGATGGAAATCAGTGGCATAGGCAGAGGCCACATCATAAAGGACATGGTAAGGAGTCTAGATTTTATTATACTTGAAATGAGATGCCTCTGCAGGATTTTGAGCAATGGGCCGATATGACCAGTTTTTGCAGCATTCGGTTTGTAGGATGTCATAGCTGGAACATAGGCATGAGACACAGGTGGCTTAGAGGAAGACAGCAGTTGAAATGGGAGAACTGGTAGAAGGATCTTAGCAGCTGAGGGAAGGATGAATTGGAGGGGTCAAGACTGGGGCAGTTGTCTAAGCAAGAAGTTAATTCTTGGGAAATGACGGTAAGTTGTTCTAAGTGGGTAAGGTCCCATGGAGCCGGGACTGAACAGGAAAAAAAGATACATGGAAAAAATATTGATAGGATTCAACTTCTACTGAATAGGAGGGAAAAAAGGGGGACAATTGTTGAAGATGATTTCTAGAATTTTGACAATCTCCTTGTACTAATGTATTAATGTTATAAGAAGAGGCTAAATTTTTATATAGTGGCTAAATTTAGATCGTAAATTTAAATTAAAATTAGAAAGTAAATTTAAATTTACTTTCCACTCCTTCTTTCAGATTCCTTTGTGTGAGACTTAAGTTTCCTCCTCTAACAGCAAAGACTCAGAGTGCACTTTTTTCTGATATACAAATGCACTGAAAAGTTTACCAAAGATAATATGTTCAATTTTAGTCCATTTAAATTTTAAACTTATTTTGCGATTTTGTGCTTTTCAACTTAACTTTCCTTCATGAAAACCCAGCTTGATTAAATGAACTGCAGAAATACATGGATTGAAAATGGCATATAAAAATGAAATTAATCTAAGCCTCAAGTGAACTATAAGCCATGAAACATTGAAAACCAAAAGACTTCATTCTGTTGATAAGGGCATTAATAAACCATTAATACACACATCAGAATTCTTTGAAGCTACTTTTATAAAAGTAACATGGTATGTGAATAAAATATACATTTAAATTTTTTCCACTAATGAATCATCTAATATATCCATAGTATTTGTACATAGTGAAGATACATATTATATATATTTATCTCCAATATAGAAAGCTTATTTTATTTTTTAAAAAGATTTTATTTACTTATTTGACAGAGAGAGACAGCATGGAGACACAAGCAAGTGGAGCAGCAGGCAGAGGGAGAGGGAGTAGCAGGCTCCCCACTGAGCACAGAGCCAGATGTGGGGGCTCTATCCCAGGACCCCAGGATCATGACCTGAGCTGAAGATAGGCTTAACCAACTAAGCCGCTCGGATGCTCCTCCAATATAGAAAGTTTAAATCAATATTATAAAAGGTCACAGTTTCATCAATTGATTATTTTAGTTCAACTACTTTAATAATTATTTCTGGGTTCTGAATGATCAAAAAGACTGGATCATATAAATAAGGATTCTCGCCTGATACAAAGAGTACTATGTTCTGTTCACAATCATTCTCCTTCCCCTTCCTCTTCTCCCTTTCTCCCTCCCTCCCACCTTCCCTCCCTTTCTTCTGTTCTCTCTCTCTAAACTCTCTCCTAAGGTGATCTCCTCTATTCCCCTGGCTCTA